CGTCAAAACAGATAGCCAAAACAATCTTCTTCCACTTTATTTAAAAACATGGAAGGCAGTTTGGCTTCCCACAAAAGTACTTGGTACTAACTTATACAAGTAAAGGGTACTAGATCAGAGGGAAAAGTACTAAATTTCAGATTTGTTTTAGTTTCATTCACTTTAGGGCATTTATTGACTGTACTGGCTTATTATTATTGGAGAACTGAACGCAAAGTCACTAAGTTAATATATGTCCGAAAAATACGAAAAAATAAAAGTCAAGACTATCGTTATTGTAATCGAATATGTATATACTTTGAGGTCTTTAATTTTTATGTTTTCAAATGCCCATTTGATTTTATATTATATATATATATATATAAGGGAAAAGGGAGTAAAGGAAACTTATTTTTGGACATCTGCAAAAAGGTCTAAAATGCTCTTGCGAAATTGCAGTGTTATTCTGGGACTTTAGTGCCTAAGCAGTACTTCCCAAAGCAATTAAAGAGATCCTTATGGAGCTCGAGAAGGAATGGTATATGATAGGTGTCCGTACCCTCGTAGGAAGTCTTAGATGGTGAGTGAAATGCTTTTTATGGGTTAAAGCTTTGTGAACCAAAACGCGTGCACCCGCACGCACACACAAAATCTTCATATAATTCAAAAATTTAAAAATGATTCGTTACAGATAATAAATGCAATTGTTTTTAGGTCAAAGTTATGGAATACTCAAATAAATTCCTTCAATCCCTAAAGTTTGCTACAATTGCTTTTGTTATTTTTTTTTCCAAAAGCGGGCACTTGCATATGCCGGCATCGGCTACTCCTAAGGCCAGATGTGGTAGTCTCTTTATTCAGGTAGGCACCTAATAAGTGGGCACCCTTTGCCTTCTATGAAGGAACAGACAATTTTTACATCCATGCCTTCTCCTGGATTCGAACCCGGGCCCTTCGGCATCGCAGTCAGGCTCCCCTAACCACTATACCGTCTGGGCGGCTTGCTTTTGTTATAAACAGGATTGAATGCATTTTGTTTCGCGTTAACCAGACTGCAGGGTTTAAAAGCAAGATATTTCAAATTATTCACATCTTCTTTTGAGAATGTGTTTTATTCATTTCATGAAATTTTCAATAAAACTGAATTTTTCTATCCAAGTTTTAAATACTTTGCACTTAACATATGAACACGATGTATAATAATAATATTTTACTCCCATCACGTTTAGTTAGATAAAATTTTGCATTTAACTGTTTTCGTGGTAAGAAAATTGTTTAGTCTCTTTAAATGAAATAATCGTTTTTCGGAGTCATGAAATTCTTAAACTGTGTTATCGACTAGAAAGGCGTGGAATATTTAAATAAAATATGGTATAATTGAAAAAAGCCGTCTCAGTGAAACAAGATTTATAGAAATCTGTTAATAAAAGTTCCATTAATTTAAACTCCTGCTTCTGTCGATGATGTATTTGTCATTTGTCTCTGCTGTCTGAACTCACAGAGACTTCAGTTTCACGGTCATTCGTTAATCGTGGAATTTCTCTTCAATCAATTTAATACATTTACAGGAAATTTCGACTTACATGAGTATCATCTAAGACACATTTATGCGTTGAAAAATTGTTTTTCAAATAGGATCAAACATTTTAAAAAACTAAATGTCACACGTTGAAGAGTAATGACTTTAAAGAATCTTTTGTCAGAAATTATTTGTCTAGGATGACATTTAACTAAATTCAGTGAGCTGTGTTACATGATCCTTTTGTCTGGTATTAAATAGACAAAAGAATATATGACTCTAAAATTACAGTTTTAATGCCAAACCAATTTTGAGTAAAATTCATAAAAGCTGTTCTCGATTATGAAATATCATATTTGTATCTGCATATGAGTATTACAAAAATACAAAAGTACATCTGTGGATTGACTGGAAGAAGTTATAGTGAGTGTTTCTCATGTGTAAACGAAGCAGTTCTGTATAGAAATAGGCATCCATTGTAAAAATGATCCCCTAAAATATTATTTATCCCTAAAAGTGTTATTCTAAACGTCTGTAAGAAAGACAATATATTTTAGGTAATATCTTGACGGCAAAAAATTTCTTTAATTTCTTAAAAAATAAAGAGCACATTCTATTGTCTAACGAAATTATTACTTTATTATTAGTACGTTTGAAAAGAAAGTATAAAATCATCGTCGAAAACGATAAACATAGTACAATTCCATCGGAGTATCTGATATCCAACCATTACTTCAATGGATCTATTTATAAAAGGTGTAGCTAATTCCAAGAAATTCGACAGGGAAGCGAATCATGAAGTCAGAAGGAAGCACCTGAATAATAACTATCAACTTTAACTTCGACTTCATTTTACCCAAAGTGTAGACTTTCATCACAGTACAAAACACTTAAATTCTACGGAACTGAAAGGTTAATTTATCACAAAAACAAAGCATACGATAAATCAGATCACCCTTTTGAGAAATGGAAACCTACCTATCTTTTTATCATTCAATCGTATACCTATCCGTAACGTAAAATCGACTTTTAAGTTCAACGTTCCATTAGTTTCATTCCGATGATTAAAGGAGTTGTTGTACGGAAAGTTGCTTTTGCTCAATTTTGATTAAGTGCTTTTCGGCTTAGACACTACTACTTTATTTTCTCTTTGATTCTAACTCACGAGTGTAAACTTGTACATGAATCTAAACATAATTCAGAGTTTAAACTGAAGTGTGAAGAAAAGTTTTTAAACAAATAGCTTTTCATTCAATATATATTGAAACATAACTAAAATATAAAATTCTAATGCATATTCTCTTAAACTGCATTTTTAGAAATCTATAAGTTACTGCTTTGGTATTATTTAAAAGAATAGTAAGAAACGCTGTATGAAATAGTGTTATTTTATCATAAAAAGTAAATCTGGAGTATATATATATATATTATAGCCCATTTTAGTTCTTATTTTATAACTACGGAAATAATTGTTTAAATGTATACATATACATAAGGAAACTTAATAAGAGACAAGAATTAAAAACAAAATTTTTATACCCGTCCTGCGTTATAGTTGAACTGAAATAAAATAAACTTAAAGCATTTAATGTTAAAGTAAATTGGAGTAAAAGCAAGGCAATTCCTCAACAATATTAATAATTGCGTAGCAATACGTAGCAATTGAAATTTCTCAAACACTATGATTTTTACGCTTCTAAAATCTGAAATTCTGAAAATGAATATTAAAATTCTATGTAAAAGTATAAAGGAAAGTGTTAGGCTTTTTACTCATACTTCCTTTCTGAAGTATGCTATTAAAAATAGATTTTCTTATCAAGAACTAAAATTATATCACAGCGTTTCTCCGTAATGCGAAACAAAATATTAAATTAAACTTTTAATCATTCTACAAAGACGTACATTTTCAAATTAAGATGAAGCTATACTTTTAAACTTCTTTCTTAAGGTTACATTAATTTCATTTCAAGACGTTAATGAAAAATAAATTGCGGTTGTTTTCATGGAAGTAAAATGAAATCTGCAAAATCCATCACCCAAAAGTTCACAAAATTTGTCTTTTATTCTTCTTCTTTGATTTTTCTTAGGTGATTGCAAATATGAATAGTTGCAGCACAATATCAGTGTGCTGTCAGATATCAAGAACCCCATCGTCTTTTTCTTTCCTTTATACGAAATCCTGTTACGCCTAAGTTGAATGTCTTATACTGAAAATAAAAGCTATATGCATATTTCTAATTCTCGTAATTACAGAGTAACCAAGTTAAATGTAACTTCAGAATTAAGTTCGATTTCAAATAACAAATTCCCATCAATGATACTTTACATAACTGTATTTACTTCAGTTTGTTAGAGTAAACGACTGATCATTAATCCAAAAGATAAATTTTATTAGTATAATTTTACAACTTGTAACTACTCCTTTTTTACATTTTGCAATTTAAAGATTGTTAGTTCCCTTCCCTCATCAAAATTAATATGAAAATATTGAAATGATAAAAATAATGATTATTAAATAAATTAAATGACTAGAAAAATTTTAAGAACTTAATATAACATCAGACATTTATTTACTTACTCTCTGAATTTTTAATGTGAATATAAGAAGCCTAGTCATCTCTGCAATTTCTCCATTGTTCAAAATTAATTAAATAATTCTTAACTAATATCTCCATTTAAAATAGGCTACAATACTACAAAATAAGCTTCGATTTCTGTCTTAAACTGCAAGTCTAAGAATACTTTGGAATGGATATATACATACAAATATGCGTAATAAATTCGAGCAGCGTTCACACTGATACTTCTAAAATAGTTAGCAATGAGCGTTCTTATAAAGAATGCAAATAATAAATTCAGGGCATTCATTTTTCTCCAAAATCATGTTCTCACCAAAACTATTCTTTATGCGAATTTGGTTACCTGGCAATTTTTGTAATATGTGGTAAAATTTCGTCTTTATTACAAAAAGTGAAAAAGATGAAAACATTCAACCCCCTTATACTGTAATAGCCATGACTAAATGCAATCTGATGTGATGTAAGATGCACCTCTAGTTTAAAATTACAAAATTTGTAAATCCGTTTTTACAACATGCCACTTATTTGGTTCATTGTTTAGATTATTTTTGATGCGGAATACGTGAAGAATGAGCAGTGCCCTCTCCGGGACTCGAACTTAGCCCTTTCGAGTAGTCACCGAGCGTGCTACCCCTTACACGACGAAGGCATGCTGGGAGGAGGAAGGAAATACCTCACAATTGAATTTTACATATAACAGCTTCGTAATTCTTCATTTTTTTAAATGTTATATTACACATTGTTATTAATTTTCATTTTACTCCGTCTCGTCGAAACGAATACCTTCTGGAGCACATTCTTTTTTATATGTCGAAAGCCGGTACTTTTATCGGAAGTTAACTGACCATAATAGTATAATATGATCACGTTAGTTCGTTTATAAGTGAAACCACTCATTTGACATTTAAACAAAAATTTCTGTTTTAAAGACATTTTATTAACATCCTTTTATAAGGATAGGTTACTAATTGAGCAGATACCATACAGAACACAGCTATATACAAAAGACGATTTGTAAAAACCCTGTGGGTTGAATTTCTGTCGAAAGCACATGCGTTAGAGCCATGAGTAAAGAGTGAACAATGTTCATTGATGAGTGATCCAGACATGCGATCCATATGTCGCTGAAAAAATTGCTCTGCTTGAATTCCACAGTCGCGTAAAAGATGCTTGTGCTGGCATTCCACAAATTCTGTAAATACACTGCAAGACAAAATGATTGCCGTTTCAGATTTACTATATATTACTATATATTATTTAACAAGCATAATAAAACATAACCACTTTCTCTAAAATGCGACGTGAACACTAACTCGTTTATAAATGCAACATGCTCAGTTTTATAAACTATATGCTCTCTTCTATGTCTCATCGGGAAAATCATAAACTTGGTTTAGCTGGATGTTTTTTAAATTTGAATGTTTTCGTTATTACAGCTTTCTAAGCTCAAAGGCATATAAATGTGATGAAGCAGATTTAGATGTTACTGGGTAGAAATATTGAATGAGTAGTTAATGATCCATGATGAACAGCAAACATGGCAGCCGAGGCAGATTAAACATTCATTTTTATTTCATTATTATTTGTGGTCGCAATTTACTTGGGAATATAATCGTGCCTATTTTAAAATATTTACACTTTCGATACCTTTGCGATAGAAGGGAAGCAGTAAGCCACAGTCTACCTTCGCTGAGTAGCAGAAGCAAAGTGCGTAGTCATCCAATGTGGAGGCTTATTAAGAGAAAGGTTTCGGTTCTCGAAATTTTGAGCTTCGAATTAGCAACGCCATCATCGTTATGTTAAGTAGTATGATATGGATTATTCTAGAAATGGCGCAGTCCAGAAAATTTATTAATATTTTTAGAGTAGAGAGGCGAAATTGTAAGGATCTTATGTTTGACTAACGTTTATTTATTTTAAAAATTTTACTGTCCTCTCTTCATTTCCACTTCCGGACAGAATAAACCCGTTAGTTTGGTTAAGCAAATTGTACTTGCTAAAGCTTAAGTATTTAAGCTGTGGCTTTTCGCCAAGAACAGAGTTAGATGGGGAGAGAGTGAGCCTTCTTGCCTCTGTATTTCACGCGAGCTTTCAATCAGTTGTTGTCCGCCTTTAAGGCCAGAGACTTTGTCCTCTTGATATCTAAGACATATTGTCGTTTTCCGCAAGTGCCGAAAAAATTCAAATGCTGACACCTTACAATCACACACACAATCACACAACGGTGAAATAAAAAAACATATAAAAACATTTAAAATAGACATTATTAAGGAAAAAAATTGTCACTGTGTATTAAATAGATGATAAAAAATTGCAAAATGTCAAATACATGTATTTGATTGCGGCACACCTATATCCTACTCAATGGCACACCAGTGTGCCGCGGCACACCGGTTGCGGAGCACTGTTTTAGGATGACACTTTACTTACCTTCAATGATTAGCTTAATTTACAAAAATCTAATTAAAATTCTTCGAAATAATTTTAAAACTTAAGTGACGTATAAATATCTAATTCAAGAATGGAAATATTTTTATTCGTGCCAAGTACATCAAAAATTCCAACTTGGATAAAGCATTTTCAAGTATAAAAAATATGACTCCAGTCTAAAGCCATTAACCTGCACACAAACTAAGGTATTACCATGGATAGCATGACTGTAGTTGGCAAGCTGTGAAAATACTTATTAGACTTGTCCAACAAATGTAGCCGAGAAGTAAAGCCGCGAAGCATTCATAGTTCTTCCCAGGTTTTATTTCTGGCAACTAAGTAGATTAATTTTTTCCCATTTCGCTATATTTTGGTAGGATTAAAAATGTAGCAATTAAATTTCATATGAATTTGAAACGATTTAAAAAGAATCTTTTTAATGAAACTGTCAAAAGTGATTTCATTTTCACAGAAAAAGTTAATTATTTAAAAGCTCTTTCTTAAAAGTAAAGCACATACATTTTTAATTAAGGAATATCGTATCTTAAATTAATTAATTCAACTTTGATGCATCGAATGCTTTCTGTTTTAATACAATCAAAACACTATGTAAAATCTTTAAAATTCTCTTTTTAAGACAGTAACTGAATTTTAATTATTAATCATTTCAATTAATTAGAATTTATTTTATAACGGACGTTATAAGAAATATTTTATTATCATTTAGTAGAGTTGTTAATTATCATTTTAAATTTAAACAAAATAATACCCGTAACAAAAATCGAATATTTCCAACTTGTGTTTATTTCAACTCAGTTCGTTATTTGATGTCTCTCCTTTGAGTCCAGAAATTTCCATCAGTATTAATAATTTATGAGATGCATTTTGGTACTGAAACACAGAAAATATTATATAACTTATTGTAGTCAAAGACCTTATCAGATAACTGATGAGATCTATGCAATTAGTATAGATCACAACATTTGTACAGTGTAGTTCTTTTACATTTGTTTAATTGAACGCTCTCGAAAACTGTATAAAATGAAGAGCAGAAAATGGAAAAGCTCTTGCTCTCGAATTATACTTATCCTACCATATTTTCAAAATGAATCAGTTCGATCTGCAAATATGTGCTTGCGAAAATCGTGCTTAAACACCGTGATTGTTCTATTTGTGCTTAGACAATGAAGGACGTCATTAATAAAATTTCGTAATTCCTAATAAAAATCGACAATAATTGTTACAATAACAGTGATTTTGTTAACTGTTATTTACAATAACAGTGAGGTTAATTTCTAATATTAAATGAAGATAGCCAATAAATCAATGTATGCAAAACTCAAAATATTCTTCTCTAAAATTTCTAGAATAAATTCTAATTTGTAGTTTTAAATCCTTCTTGTTACGTTTAAATTGAAAAATGCAAGTGAACACGATGTATTTTATACACAAATATTAAGAATATAAAAAATTAGAGAAAAATAAAATATAAGTCTTTTAAACAAAAGTAATACGGCTTCTAAATCGTAGAGCTTGCGGTTATGATACTGCTTTGAAACAAAAACATGTTTAGAATAAAGTATGTTTCGTTCAAAACATATTGATAATTTAGATTACTCTCATCATGCTCATGCTGTTTATGCATGCTGTTTTGAGAGCCCGACCAGTAGCCGAGTGATTAAGACCTCTGAATATTAGCAGTTAGATCCGGGTTCAAACCCAGATAATTGGGGTGGCTGTATGGTTGTGTTTCTTGGCTTTCCCATGTGTAATGTGATTACGAGCTAGTTTTGCTTAGAGATTCCACCACGAAGTCATCCCTCCGGTTGGAAGATAGCTTTATTCAGCTTTATCATTGTGAGATAACTTACCCTTACCTATCGTTCTGAAAATAAATTTCTAGATTCTGATATTTTGAAGTTCATATAGGTTACTTGAGGCTAATGCCTTGTTTAATGGCAACGAATGCGTGATTTTTTGTTTATTGATAATGATAATAACTATTTTAGATGTTTCTATTAATCTTTATTTCAGGATTAATACGCGACTAATCTTTATTTAAGGATTACTTTTCAAATTGCTGATGCATGAAGGCCGTCTTTTCATACTATATCGATTACCCTCTGCATGTCTGGTATTGCTGTTTTTGGCTGTGTCTCATAGTTTTTGTGATAAGTGTCCTTACTTCTCAAATTCACTTCCAGGAGCGCTGCAGTCGGTCTCATGTGATTCCACATAGCCATTTTAAAGTGGTCAGATGCATCTTCTATCCAAATATTTCCAAAGTTATTTCGGTGTTTAAAGATTTTACTATATCCTTTATATGCACAAAGAGGAGATTTTAGAAAGAGAGATCAGAATTTATTTGGTTTTAAAATTGTCCTTTCTTGCAACCGAAAACTTTTCAGGAAATGTTTTCGCATTGAAAATATTCGGTTGTAAGCTGATTATAAATATAACTGAAAATATCCTTCCTTTATTTCTTCATACTAGAGAATTTAAGCATAGAATTATGAATAGAATTATAAAATCTAGCACAAATAAGCATATAATTGTTTCTCATTGCAGTTTTGTTGGAACTTAATTCAACTTGATCAAAGCATTGTTTAGCGACGATATTTTATGTTAGTTGGTGGATTTGACAAAAGAAACGTGAATGGGCTTGGAACAAGTTTTCTACAATTTCAACAGGAAAGGAGTGAAAGCTACGTCATTTACGAGGTTGCTATACATCAGAATTTCGGAAGCGCCTAAGAAATGCAAACTTAAAGAGGAATTAATTTCGGCTCTCAAAAACTATGGTTTAGTCAAAACAACGGAATGCCATGATGGATTTAACCCTTTTTCTGTCTCTTTTAACGTAGTATGTATTCGCTTATCCTGAATTTTAAAGATAAGCGAATTTGTCCAATATACGCCAAACGGCATTCACAAAAAATTTTATAAGAAGCCCATAAATGACGATCTGATTTTTTTTTTATTTTATAACTAAGAATTTGATTTTATTGATAGGTCTGAAGGAAATCAGAAAACTATACTATTTGAAATATTTGAAAAAGTAAAAGCTGAATTTAGGAATGAAGGGAACATCAATGCTAAGGATTGAAATGTCTTCAGCTTAAAGATTTAAAACTGATTCGAATAAAAGTCTGGAGAGTTCCTTATATTTTCTATTCTTTCTATCTTCTATTCTTAATCGTAATCTAACTTTTCTGGTGCCAGACGTAATACAATTACTGGACAATATGGCTTACCTCACAGCCTTATTACCATCCTTCGGTCATACCTCAGGGATCGATGCGTACAAGTAATATCAGACAGTGACATTTATGTCCAAAATTTCTCTACAGGGTGTCTGCAGGGGTCGTACCTAGGAACAACCATGGGAAATATAGTGGCTAACTCGGTATTTCATCAGTTCCAGAGCGCAGAATGTGCTCCGCTTATAGCCCACACGGGCGATTTTATGCTAATCGTTAGAAAGAAGGACAAACTCGAAGCAAGATAGTAGTACCCCAATGGGCTACAGCACACAAACTTCAGATATCGACCCCGAACACTGAAGCTTTATACAGATACAGGAATCATATAGGACGCAACAAATATCTTAGACATAACCCAAGTGTTAACCTGCAAGGTATTATTATTATTATTTACTTATTACGTGCTCCGTCCTTAGGCACTACACGGAAAGGGTGGGATGCCCCGTGGAGGTCTTTTTAAGGGAAACTGGCTCCTATCCATTTTACGCATGGGGAAAACCACGAAAACGCCCATGCAGCCAGCCCGTTCGCCGGGACTCGAACCCCGGAACGAACTACCAGTGTTCAGCGGCTTTTACCGCTCGGCCGCTGGTGGGCCAACCTGCAAGGTATACCAATAAAATGTCTGCCCCAGTTGAAATATCATATGCTAACACTCGATAACTGATGATGACTGGATCTTTACATGTCTTAAATCCTGGATGTTACTTTCCTGGATGTTACATGTCTTAAATCTCAAGACGCAATTTAATACATTAATCAATAACGTGTAACGTATGGCTTCATTTATATGGGGTTTCTTGTCTAAGCTGTTAACATTTGGCATAGAACTATCACATAAAGTGTAATCATATAAGGAACGGCTATCTGAGGTAGAGAACATACCTCTCACATGATACGCCTCTGCTCTCAATGCAGATATAGCAGCTACTCCAAATATGTGGGGTCTATCTTATTATCTCAGAACTAGCTCTACAACTGGCAGGATTTCTTCCCTTAGACTATCACAAGCTATCTAACAAGGCTGATCAGGAACTATAGGGAAGCAACTATCGCAAGGCTGACTAGGCTGGGTCAAACGTTCATATTTTGGGGTCATAGTTTTCACTACTGGACTATGATGAGCAACACATGGTCAAAAACTTTCATCCAGCTGCTTTTATTGTCTTCGAAAGCATCCACATAAACGAAGAACCAACTTTAAGTAACAATTATGACCCAGTCACAGATGGCTCTACGGGAAGAACTGCATCGGAAGTGGCTTCTGTAGAATAGAAAATTTAGTGGAAGACGAAACTAGGCCTTGAACAATTGGGTATACCAGGCAGAGCTGTTATTTGTCAGAGCTACAATTAGCTATACTAACTATACTAAATGCTGTACTAAATTAGGTATACTAACACATTTCAGTAGCAGAAATTCACGATTCTCAATGACTCGGAGTCAAGCCTCGCAGCAGTCGCAGGATAGAAGAGTAGAAGCCACTTGCTATACCGAATTCAAACACAGCTTCTGGCTGTGCTTGTCGCACAAAGGGCCACTCTAGAAGGTGTTCCCGCACATACTCAAGGCAATGATGCCGCGCAGTTTCTGATCAAGCAGGAAGCAAATGGCAGGGGACTGCTAGAAGAACTTAATAAACTTAATCTCATGTTAAAAGAGCAACTTTCACAAGCGTGTTACGAAACTGGCGAAGTAGAATGTCAGAGATCGAGTGAATGGCATTTCGCTTTTTGCCGAAAGTTAACAGGGAAAACAATATCCATCGTACCAGCTTCGCATAGTTCCTGATAGATCATGGGTCATTCCGTATGTACCTCACCAAGCTCTCTTTTGCGAGTTTCTACAGCTAGTAGATTTCCCCGCTGGGATTGGTACACAATTCACTTTGATTCACCTCCGCGGTCGGAAGCCATCTTAGTGGCAGTGTCACTCACTCACTCTTACACGTAATTTCTTCCTCATATTCCTATAGATATTTCTACGTGAAACAACTTCAGTTTTATCAAATGCAATAGCTCAAAGTCATTTTCTCTGGGATTCTAAAAAAAAACACTCTAAATTTAACTTTTTATAATAAATTGCTAAGGTACTGCATACATAATTAAAATGTTTTATCCACACATACTTAAAATTGCAGTTATTAAACTATTTAATAACTCAAATTTACTAAAACTAAAAAAACTTTAACTAATAAAATTATAAATATCCATAGCAAAAATGAATTTTATTACAAAAGCTTAAAATGAAATTCAATTGAAAATTATTTTAACTATATTAAATTATAAAGTAAAACATCACAAATTTGCATAATAAAATTCTTCATATGAACTATGAACCAAAAATACTTTCTTACCAACAGTGCATTTTCAACCTATCATTGACATCTTTCGCTTGATCTGTGAATTGGTCACCATGATTGTTCTTCAGTCTCTTGTATTGATACGCGCATTTTCGAATATCTATTGAGACGTTTTTCAAACATGGAGCATACCTCAAATAATCTGAAATATATTTTATAAATAAGAAATTAGAGCATTTTAGTATCGCAAATAATGCGTTTCAAGCACACATTTCAGCAAATTTTAACAACACATTTTTTAAAAAAGGCATTTCATATATAAAGTGGTACTAATCAGTTAATGTGTAGTTCAGCATGCTGCAAACATGTTTTCCAATAAAGATTATCCCGTTCAGCCATATCATTCTAATAGCAATAAACCTAAATATGTACTATAAGTTTGAAGGAAAAATTGGCATAGTATTGAAAAAATTACTTTCTTTCGAATTAGTAATATGAAAATGCTTCGTTAACGATGTATCGTAACGTTACGTCACAAAAATAAAATTAAGTGATTCTTTCCAATACAGGTTAATATGTGGTAGCTATTAAAATGCCTGCCATTTTTTTTTCATTCTTTGAAGTTACAAATTGCATTGGCTTAGAAGCACCGCAACCAGTAAATGAATTTCACAAGATCAAATACAGCAGCAAGTCGGTGTAACTAATACAGCAATAAGGGAATTAAACGTAAGTTAATGACAATAATTAGTGTTCCTTCATCAAACGAATGCAATAAATGTATTAATAATATTGACAAAAGCCTTTTATCATATGCATCAACCGAAAACTAACGACGGAGGGAAGCTACGTGCTAAAAGGATTTTTATGGTCCTATTAATGGAGAAAGGAAAGGAAGCAATAATTGCATTAAATAGCATAGCAACCAGGTTACTGGAAGAAGACACAATGTAGCTTAGTCTCGAAGCGTCTTTCAAACCAAGTTGATTTCTATCAGTGCTAGAAAAAGTATTAATATTCATAAAGAAATTGAAAAGTTCTGAATAAAGTACTTATTTGTTGTCTAATTGGGCTTGCAAAATTCTATGGGATAATTTTGTAATATCCGAAAAATTATGAACCGAATGTTATTCTCTCTTTCAACCTATTGTCATTTTTTAAAAACTTAAACAAACCAAACGCAAACTTTTGGCTCATTCTGATGAAATTTTATAAATATGTATTATGTTATTAAAATTTGCTGCAAGTGATATATAATGCATTATTTCTATTTCTTTTGGAGCATTAAATGTATTTGCAAGCTTTTTTTAAAAAAAGAAACCAGGGGTCTCACTTTGCTGTTGTACGGTTTACGGGTAGTGCCTACTTGGCAAATGAACATGCACTTGGCAAATGAACAAGCTGTAGTAATGCATATTCTAGTTGTATTATATTTGTGAGTTATTACTTAAAGTGAATAAGGCAGTTTAGTTAGTTGTGCCGTCACTGATTCACCCGAACAGGATAAATTGTACAATTTAGTAAAAAATTAGTAGTTGAGTCAATCTTTCATAACTCAAGGCAATCACTATGCTCCTCCTCTGAAATTTGAAATGGAACTATATGACAGCCTGCATAAAAATTAAACAGTTTTTAGTATAAGGACACTGGTCCTATTGCTAACCTCCCTGTTGCTTATATCCACTTCTTTTGACTATTTCATAAAATTTGCCAAATGACGCCAGACATCGCAGTTGAGTTAGAGAAAATTACGCTATTAAGAAAAGATTATTTTAGTTAAAAAGACTTCAGTCACCTAACCTTTTTTTAACATTTTTAGAGTTTCCTTATCAAACAGTCATTCTCATATTCTAAAATATTTATACTACCGTACTTAAATAAGAGATATTCCATTTCCGTTACATTGAGCAAAATAAAAGGATAGCTACTCAGATCTCATTAAACTCAGAAAAGAATTCTTGTGTCCTCATAATAATTAAGAAATAGTTTACTTACAGAATATAATGAAATTTTAAGTATAGAATTTATACTTTTCACTGAATTTGAACGCTTTACTGTCTGCATTAATTTAATATACACACTCTTAGACAAAAAAAAAAAAAAAGAAAAAAAAGAAAAGAAAAGAAAAGAAAAGAAAAAAAAACCTACGCACCAAGAAGGAGTTATCCGAATGGGTCGAAAATCGGTAGACGTGATGTACATGTACAGAAAAACAAATGATTACAGTTTGAGAAAAATTGGATGATTTATTGAAGAGATAGAGCTCCACAAAGTGAAAAAGTCAGTAACGCGTTTGTCCACATCTGGCCCTTATGGCATCGATTGATAAAGGTTGCGGTTGTCCTCCTGAGGGATATCGTGCAAATTTTGTCCAACTGGCACGTTAGATCGTCAACGTCCCGCGCTGGCTCGAGGGCCCTGCCCATAATACTCCAAGCTCAATAGGAGAGAGATCCGGCGACCTTGCTAGCCAAGGTAATGTTCGGCAAGGCAAGCAGTAGAAACATGTGCAGTGTAGGGGCGGGCATTATCTTGCTGAAATGTAAGCCCAGGGTGACGTGACATGAAGGGCAACACAACGGGCCTTAAAACTTCGTCGACGTACCGCTGTGCTGTAAGGTTGCGAGGGATGACAACTAAAGGGTGCCTACGATGAAATGAAATAGCACCCCAGACCACCACTCCTGGTTGTCGGCCTGTCTGCCGGAAGACAGTCAGGTTGGTATCACACCGCTGTCCAGGGGCGTCTATAGACTCGCCTTCGCTGGTCATTGGGACTCAATTCAAAGCGGGACTCATCACTGAAGACTATTCTACTCCAGTCAGTGACATTCCAGTGCGAATGAGCCCGACACCACTGCAAACGGGCTTGACGTTGTACAGAGATCAATGGTAGTCGGCGCAAGGGGCGCCGTGACCTCAGCTCCCTTTTCTGTGAGCCGTATATGAATGAACCTTGCGGTCACTGAAACACTAGTTGCAGGTACAGTCGATGATAATGATGCATCTGGGGCTGTGAGTGCCACTCTGACGATTGCTCGGTCTTAACGTTCTGTCGTTTCTCTAGGCCTACCGCTTCCTTCTTGACGCTGTTTGCGGCCATGGTTCACCCATTACTGCCAACATCGTCTAATCGTGGCATCGCTCCTGCTCAAATTTCGAGCTATTCGCCGATAAGACCAGCCCACCAGCGGCCGAGCGGTAAAGACGCTGAACACTGGTAGTTCGGTCCGAGGTTCGAATCCAGCGAACGGGCTGGCTGCATGGGCGTTTTCGTGGTTTTCCCCATGTGTAACGTGTATACGAGCCAGTTTCCCTTAGAAAGTCCTCCACGAAAGGCATCCCTCCCCTTAGGCAGATAGCCCTAGTGTGCTTTGCCATAATTAAATACACACACACACACCGATAAGACCAACCAGCCCAACAACCTACACGACCTCTCTCAAATTCTGACATTTGCGCGTATCGTTTGGCACCTGTATGCGAGGCATAGTTACTGTGTACCAGAGTACACGGAATAAAATTCGTGAAGAATTTATGACCTGGAATCATAATTTATCCTCTTAATTATCCTGCCAGTTACGCAGATCAGATGCGCTGTAGTGACAACTGTTCATTCATTGGTCGCCAAAATGTAAAATTTTGCATTTTCCATCGAAACCTGTATGCATATCAATTTGTGCCTAATTTGCTTTATGTCTTCTCAGTGCTCGTGGTGAGTCGTTTTTATTTTTGTCTCAGAGTGTATATATAAATATAAACTACAGATATTTTTATTATCTGAGCTACAGTTAGGTTTGATTTAGTTTTAAATGTTTAGTCTGCCAGAGTTACATGATAGTACTTAACTTTCTGTTCCTATAGACTTTGAATGTGTATATCAAATTTTACCTTTTCTAAAATGTATATTTTTCAGTTTAGTTTGATAGCTTGATCTCACGTAAGAATGTTAACAATGTGTGCTTTCGTTTAATCTAAAAATTCTCAAAAATTTACTTTTATCAAGTAGAGTTATTTTGAGCTTCTGTTTCAAAATAGAAATACCATTGTAGGTTAATAGTTTATTTTTCTAATAGTTATTTTTGTTTTTAGAAATAGCTTTACTTCCTCATGTCCATACCTATACTTTCCGGCCAAAATTTGTTTTCAATTTTACGCTTTATGCAAAATAGGGAGAAACTGCTATTTCAGCTGAGATCTGAGCTACTTCAGTTGGAGAGAGTGTGCTCTGCCTTTCGGCCATGTTATTGTTAAAGCTTGCAAGCTTATGGTCGGGTGTGATTTTAGCTAAGAGCCAACTACGCAGTAAACAAGGTCTGTGGAGCTTAGGTTGTTTATTTTACTTATCATTTGTTTAAATTTACATTTTCTATTTTAAACCAAAAGTGTCTATTTTAAGCCAAAGGTATTGGCTTCTCATACACCCAAGAGGAGCCATCTGTGAAATTATTTGAGTTAAAAGGGTATCTTAACCTTTCTTTGGAGTTGTTATTTACGCAACAGGAACTTACATAATCTTTGCTATACAGTTCTAAAGAACTATATTTTAGCCAGAACACTACAACATTATTAATGATAAATAATCATTGAATAATTAAACATTGGAAAAACTTACCCTACTTTATTACATGCATTTTGCTGGAATAAATATTATTTTCAATTTTTAGCGAAATGTTTTACTTAAATTTGACTAAATTTGACTATATTTTTTTTACAGAGATGTACTGGTATTACAAACATTCAATAAAATGCCTTAACGCAGTTGTATTTGCAGCCTGTTTACTACCGAATATGATAAGGTCTCAGGTCATTTCGTAAACCATCCTATATCTCCCCATAACTCTCTTTTTCTCTCACGAAAACAAGGAAAGCTAGCACTGAGGCGCCTGCAAGACCTCCGTGCCTATGATCCCAGAGAGTTTAACTGGCTTGTATGATTTAAGTTTAAATACGCTTTAAAAAAGTAAAAATTCCCAGTTAAACAAATTTAGAAAAGATTATATTGCTTTGTAGGGTTTATATTTATTTTAACTAACATTTATTTTAAGTTTAAACTACCTTTCCTGTCAAGCCTTACTTTTCCCCTGGAACTGCCAATGCCAGAATATGTAAATTTGAGTAGAACGCGCAAGGATTCAAATTATCAGCGGAAGTATTATGATTTAAATAGAAGGAAACGAGTTCGGTGAGAGAGTTATTCTT